CCTTCAATCCCCTTCAATCCCCAACAATCCAAGGGTTCTCCAGAGAGACTGTCCAGCAAAACCTCTGCAGCCGAACTCTACTGGTAGATTCCAGGCCTTCCATCCTTTTTGCTGGCTCTCGAGGATAAGGCCTTGATATTTTTGGAGCTTACGCTCATGTACCTCCTCCCTCCTCTCTTCCCAGGGTACTGTTAACTCTATGAGCACCACCTGCTTGGTTACCTCTAGACCAGAAGACAATATCTGGTCTGAGGCTAGTGAGTGCTATCTCCTCTGGGAATTTGAGCTGCTTCTTCAGGTCTGCCGCATCTCCCAGTCATTTGCTGAGGCCAGGAACCAAATCGAAATGGTCCTGTCCTGTCCTGACGAAATGGATAAAGTGGTGCCCGTCGGAAAGTTGTTTACCCTTCTTCCTTGCCTGTTCCACACCATCCGCCAACTGAGACAGGATCTCATTGTGACGCCACTGGAATTTCCCGTCTGCCAAACTTGACCGGTATGCTGAACGTGCTCAAGATTGGCTGGCTTTCCACACAGCGTGCAGCTGGGGCTCTCTGCCATCCCCCAAATATGGAGGTTTGATGTAGTAGGCAGGACATCGTAGACAGAACACATCAAGAACTTTAATCGACGTCCTTCCATGGTCCAGATGTCCTGCCATGTCAGGGCCCTTTCTCGTTCGCCCTCCCACCTTGTCCAGCTGCCCTGTGTTTTCATGGCAACAGCCTTGACATGCCGGGTTGCCTCCTCTGCTTTAAGGACCTCCCTCTGCACCATGCCGCGACGTTCTTTTGGGTCAGCTTTTTTCCAGCTCGTTCTGGTGGAGCAACCCAGTCCAAGCCTGCCCAGAGCTACTGTCCCAACGATGTCAGCATTATGCAGTCGATCTTCAGGTACTGATTTTGCCGTGATGGTGAGGTCGTCCATAAATGCTCTTAAAGGTGCCTGCTGGATGCCACTTGCCAACACTGCGCCTCGACGCAACTTCTCTGCTTATTTAAAGAGAAGGTTCATCGCTGCCGAAAACGAAATCACAGAGATTGTGCAGCTAGTGACAATTCACACCTCTAGCCTCAGCCTCTAGCCTTTACCAGTGGTGGTAAAGTCTCCACAGGTGAAGCGCATGTTGAAGTTGTCATAGTAATGCTGGAAGAGCTTCTGGAAACGCTCTGGGACATGGTAGGTCTTCAACATCAAATCCACCAGCTTGTGGGGTATCCTCCTAAAAGCATTTGTTAAATCCAGCCTCAGAACTGCCAGGTCACCACGGTTCTTCTTCGCATCTTCAATAATCTTGGTGATTATGATGGTGTGCTTAAGACAGCCTGCTACCCCTGGAACTCCCCCCTTTTGGACGGACGTGTCTCTGCTTTACGGGTCCATAGTGACCGCAAAAGGGAGAACAGCCAGGAGGAGATGTGTTTTATGAGGTTCTCCATCTCCTCCAGGCTGTCCTCCCTTCTGGGGTCACTATGGACCTGACGAAGGTGCTCCTCCACCTCCTCCTTTGTTGCTTTCAACTCCCCTGATCTTACATCGCCCAGAAGTTTCGACAGATATTTGAAAGGATTCTTGGTTAAATCTGTCCTCTTCTTCATTAGTCGTTTCCTGTCCCTACGGTGACATTCAGCTCTTCGCAAGATCTTAATGCGCTCTCTCAAGTTGTCACAGATTTCCTCTATCATTCTCTCACTGTTGCTTCACGAAATGTCTTCCTCAGCCTCCGCAGATCCCCTTCTAAGGATTGCTATTTCCTTTTCATGGGTCTGCTTTTCTTTTGGCTGGGTGTTTGTTTTGGCCTTCAGCTCTTTCTTTCCGAAGCGATCAGCGCCTATGCTCCAAATAATGGAAGCCATAGCCTTGAGCTTTTTACCCACATCTCCTGTCAAGGCTGTTTCCAGAACCTCATCCACATCGTGATCAAACCTCTCCCACTCCTTCCTTGCCACTGCAGTTCACTGATTCCTTTCGGGCCACTCCTACACATATGTCCTGTCCAGGTCGTCTAATGTCCTGTGTACCCTCCATCTCTGTCTGGTGCTTTGTGTCTGACACGTTGGCGATGCCGTTCCTGCTCCCATCTTCATCATGTGCCTGGAGATTCCGGGGGCTGCGGTTTGCCTCCTGCCCCGGCCTCTCCTCGTCTCACCAGGTTTCCCTGTGCGTTGTACATTATGTTCATGTTACAAGCACTTCATCTTTGACTGATGTATCTTCAGACCCCTCTCATTTTTACATATCTTCCCACATCTGCAGACCCGGGATAAATCGTTTAACTGTTCCATAGTCGATTGTCCATCATGAGTGGTCATATCAATGGTCTGTCCTGTGGGCCGATCATCCTCCCCCGTTCTCGCTCGACCCTGGGGGTATCTTGTAATATACCTTTTCATAGCGATTAGCAATGGGTCCCTCCTCGTGAAGGTTGTGCTTCGGCCTGCCAAACCTCCACACCCCAGCTTTGGTCTTTCCCAAATGTCAGCCGTCTTTCCTAGCTGTCACCGTTCTTCCTCGGTCGCCAACTTGTCTTTCCAAGTAGTCACTGGGTCAACCAGAAAAAGATATGCAAAAACGATGTGATCATCGCAGCTGGCCCACCTTTACAGGTACTCTGCCCTGCCCCGTCTGTGAGCCAGTGGCATCGCTCTCTCCTCTCCTTCTCTCCTCCTTTCATGCACCATTTATCAAAGCACAAAAGAAAAAAAACAAATCAAGTCAGCTTAATTTCTATACTTTATACAAAACAGATCATTTCAAAGCAGCTTTACAGTGATAACAGGAAAATAATGATTCAGTGATGCAAAAAGAATTGCAAAAAGACAATAGTAAACAGTCATTTATTCAGTTTGGTTGTGAAATTATGAAATGAGTTCAATTCAGCTCTGTAGAAAACAGTGATGTCATCGTCCAGCTCAGTTCAGTTCTCAAACAGCAGCGCCAGTACAGGCAGATCAATGATACTGTTGAATATTAAGTGTCCCCAACTAAGCAAGGCGACAGTGACGAGAACCCAAACTCCATCAGTGGAGAATAAACCTCGGGAGAAACCAGACTCAGTCGCTCAGTTCTCCTGGCCACTAATCACTACTCGTCTCATAAAACATTGTGAATGATGATTAAAAAAAGAAAATGAGGGAAACAAGTATTAAACTATAGTCTATAAGCAATACTTTTAAGGATCAAATAAATGTATTATAAACATTTTATAATAAACACAAACATGGTAATGGGTGGTTATTACTGAGATGTTTTGAACCCTACTCTTGTTTTCCACCCTCTGTTGTACAGTAAGTAGGTTTTCTGTGTGGTTTGTGTGATGAGGTGTGGCTCTGTGCTTGTGTTGGGCAGGTGCGGATGGAGAACGTCACAGTTCTGGGCGAGGATGTGATTGTGAACGATGAACTCTACATCAACGGTGCCAATGTTCTGCCTCATAAATCCATCACAGACTCTGTTCCTGAACCGCGAATCATCATGTGAAACACCTTTCACGCCCCTCACGAAGTGCCCGAGTGTGTGTGTGTGTGTGTGTGTGTAAAAGGTTCAGGCTGAGAATGAGCATGATGGGAAAGGTATTGTTTGTGGAGTATCTGAAGTATGCAGTTACTGATTGTGCTGTTTCTCCAGGTAAATCTCATCTATAGTAGATGTTCTCCAACTAAAGGCTGCATCACACATTTCTGACCCGTAAAGTGCTGTTGTTATTTCCCTCTGCGTTGTGTCCTCTATTACTGACAATAAGACCAGGACTCCCCTCCCTTTGGTTCATCTTGTTGATTTTGAGATGCCATTAGGCTGTCTAGTAATTACGTTGGTATTTTTTTTTTCATTTTTTTTTTTTAATTTTTTTTTATAAAGGGAGCCATGTATTGCTTTCTGGATAAAACACTGTGCCTGTAGAAAGAATGACAAGTATGTTTATGTATCAGATAACGCAGTAGCTGATTACTGTGATGACTTCCAGTAGTATGTACTAAATTATGCAAATCACATTTTATTCATCACTCAAGATCATGCAGAAATGTGATGGATATCTCCTGTGCAGATGAACAAAGATGAAAACAGACTCATGAAGTGATGTCTCTGTACACAGATTAAGATTTTGATGTCTTTTCTATCAAAAAAAAATATAAACCCATGAAACATCTTTTTGGCGTTTTCTTTTGGAGTTGTTTTTACTTAAAAGCAATTTAAACCTTTTAACTTTTAAATGTTTGAAGTTGCTGCAGCTTTTGGGAATGTAAACAGAAAGAAGACCGCAATGATTCATGCATATGAAATGTAGATTAAACCATATGGAGATGTCTTGAATGTCCTAGCAACATAGGGCATTACAAATCACGTGGAAATCATAAATGTGTTCAGTTGAAACTATTATAAGAATTCTTTACTATTAAATTGTGAAATACCAAAACAACACCAGTATTATACAGTCATTTATAATTTAAAATAATAACATTGAACATGTATGTGCACATCAAAGTTCACAAAAAGTGGCTAATTCTTGTAAATACATTCCCTGAAACTAGTTTTCAGGTCCATGGCTCGATGCATTTGGCTTTTGCAGTTATTTGGAGTAATTCTTAGTATTTAGTGTTAATCATGATGTCTCATTCCTGCACGAGAGACCACGGGCATCTCTAGTTAGTTAAAAGCGTCTGAAATAAATCAGAAACACACACACACACACACACGGGCAGAAAACGCCAGGCGATGAAGAACCGGTCCATCTTTCTGACACTGAACGGACATGTGTGCGAGTGACCAGGAGGCAAGTTATTATATTGCATTTGAAATTATAGGAACTCTTGTTGAGTGCTTACAAGATACTGTATGTAAATTTATTAACGTGGATTTATTGCAATTGGATGCTGTGCAACGACACTTTTTTTAAGGACAACACACGAGCTAGAGTGCTGTTGTTACTCAGCACATCTCTTCTAATCTCATCAGCTCTGTAAACAAAGGTTGACACAGAGTAGACTCAGCACAGTTAGTTTCGTCTAATCTCGCATTCACGGGTGATGTAATGTCTCATATTCCTGCACAGAGGAAGCGGTCAGTCCGACAGAGGCTCTCAGTTCGTCAAACACACACACCTCACCAAACACTGACTGAACTCAGCGCTACTCCACAGAATTTAAGGCTTGAATAAATAAGACTTATTTTCTAGCACAATGGATATGATCGCGAGGGATCAGAAGGTAAGTTATCTCACTCTCAAACAATTCAGCGCAACTCGTCAATGCGCGTTGAGGTTTTAACTGTACAAAATGGTGTTTATTTTCATTGATGAATTCACATTTGTTGTATTGCTAACACCACATTTAAAACTTGAGCTTTCAGTTTTGACCTTTCTAAAGTGAAAAGAAACGCGTTTGCGCAGTAATTATGTTTGCTTTGGCCTCACACACTGGGTGGGGGCTTGATGTGATGTTGATTCCCGTGTACAGTAAGTTAACAGACATACGAAAACAATAAGTGCGCCGGGTGTGAAGTTTCGATAAGATTTTATTTAGGCTACTCAAAGTTTAGCATTAGGAACTAATATAAACGTCCCGTTTTTGGAATTCATTTTGCGCCAAAACGAGACGGCTGGAGCTGAGGTCCAAGATCAACTGAATGATTAATCATATTCATAATCATAACACATGCTTTTTTAGATTTTTATTTGCCGCTGAACAATTGTTTAGTTCTTGAGTTAATTGGCATCTGTAGTCCAGGACACTCACAAACTCTTTGAAAATGAGTATTTAGTATTTGAATACCAGCCAGTGTTGGCTGGGATACACGAATGAATGCATATGAACACTATCTGACTGCATAGGTCCATCATGAATGACTGGGATTTACTGTATCATCCTTTCTAATACCAGAGCTAAAGTAGGAGTGCAGCAGTTGTGTGGTAAAAGTGTGAATGTCATGACCCTCGTAGAGACTGGGAAAAGGTACATATTTCCATTTTAAAAAATCCTTTTGAAGAGGAATGTCGGAAGAATAACTAATGTTGAAATGTTTCTTCCCTCCATCAAATCAATTGCATGCCTGTAACTCAAGAAGTATTAAAGATATCTCAATATCCTTTTACATTCTGGTTCTTAACAAACTTTTCTTTTGGCATCTACATTTTGAAGCCCCTATGGTCTAATCCTAGAGATATGGGGATCTCAATGTGGCTCCATGAGTAAATTGCAGAAATATGCAGATACAGAAAACCACATGTTGCCACTTTTCATGCAGCTAATAGTTAGCTACTTATTGTTTTTAAAGAGGAATGTCTGAAGTAAAAAAAAAAATGTTGAAACTAAATGTACCTTTATTGACATAAAAGCAATAATGTCTTGATTTTTGATTGTCTATAGATTGTTATTAATAATAAAGAAAACATGGCATTTCAGCTGGTACGATACCTTTATTTCTCTTTTGGATTTCAGAAAGGTTGATCTATAAAGCTCCGGAAAGAATCAATTACTGTAATTACTAAATGCTAGAGCTCTTTAAAGCGGGCTGGATTCTGATTGGCTGTCAAGTGTTTTTATCGTTCATCAGCTGAAAAAAATCATGAGTCCAATGATATCTTTCCTCTGTGCCGTTATTGTTATTGTGCTGTGGACTCTGCTATTCTTATATTTAAAATGATTTTAAAACTATATCTTTATCGTTAATAAAATGAAATAAGATATCCCAGATGCCCCTTTATCCTTGAAAACTGATTCAAATATATGATCTTTTGAATGCAGGATTGAGAGCAAGTTACTGCACCTCCACCATTTCAGTGTATTTTTGGCACTCGGGTATGGTTTAGTGTAGTTGTTTTGCAAAGTGACCTACATTTGGGTTTTGACTACTGAAAATGTGTACAATTTAACAATTCATGCATGGAGCCACATTGAGATCTCCATATACGGCTTTAATAATGACGATTCTAAAAGAAATCTAAAAGGATATTTAGATATATGTAATACTTCTTAAATTACAGGCATGCAAACTTTGGGGGAAAAACTAACTTTCCCTATTTTTTTTTAACTGTTACCATTGGCCAGAATATTACCAAAATCAGAAATGTTATTCTGCTTTATACCATGCGCTATTTCCACCATCCTCAAACCCCAGAGTCCAGGCCGACCTTCTGCTTGACCTGCACTTCACAACAACACAACCACTTTCAGTACAACAACACCTGACATGTCTCATGTGCCATGAGGAAATGACTCAAGCAAGAAAGCTAGTGTACTTTCTACTTTTATTGACTGTAGTTTTGAACTATTTTGAAATAGTTTACCAAGCTACAAACTAGTCGTGATTCAATGATCTGTAGCTTCACCAGAACCTGAACTTGGTCTTGAAAGTGACCAAGTTGATGATGAAGCACGACAGGGAGAGCGCACTGTTGGAAATCTGTGTAGCCTCGGTTGATTCGGATGACTATACGTCCTCTTTTTCCCAGACTGTCCACATGAAAAACTGCTATTGTGAAAGCGGTCATGCGGACCTGGGTCCCGACCCGAGACTACCTGAAGGAGGAGTGCTGAGTTGAGCTGTGGTGCGAGTCACGTGACACGGACTCAGGTGCGCGCATGTTCAGGAAGCAAAGTAACCTGAGTACACGTTTTAGCCGATGATGACGTATTTAGTTAAAAAATGCATGCAAGAGATGATAGACTTGATGGTTTATCTTGGATAAACAAGCGAGAGTGAGCCTGGAGTGTTTATTATTATAATGAGGAATATTGTGACGTGTTCGTTCCCGGAAGAAACTCAAGACTACAATGGAGGCGTTTCAGGAGTTCAGAAACACTGACACTGATATAGAGAAGAACTCCCGCTGGAGGGACTTAGGAACTTAGCAGAGCTTTTTCATGATCAAACAGCAACATTACACACTAACGAATGTTAATAGCATAAAGGGTAATCTTAATCTTTTATAAATAGTATATTTATACTTATAAAACGGATAGTTCCGGTCCTTGATTCTGATTGGTTGAGCCAATCTGATTCAAAGCCGTTGTAAATTACTCAAACACACACCTGTGACCGCATTACATTAGTGACACACAAACACACACACACACACACACACACACACACACCTGTGACCGCATTACATTAGTGTTACACACACACACACACACACACACACACACACACCTGTGAGCGCATTACATTAGTGTTACACACACACACACACACACACACACACACACACACACACACACACACACACACCTGTGAGCGCATTACATTAGTGTTACACACACACACACCTGTGACCGCATTACATAAGTGTTACACACACACACACACACACACACACACACACCTGTGAGCGCATTACTTTAGTGTTACACACACACACCTGTGACCGCATTACATTAGTGTTACACACACACACACACACACACCTGTGAGCGCATTGCATTAGTGTTACACACACACACACACACACCTGTGAGCGCATAACATTAGTGTTACACACACACACACACACCTGTGAGCGCATTACATTAGTGTTACACACACACACACACACACACACCTGTGAGCGCATAACATTAATGTTACACACACACACACACACACACCTGTGAGCGCATTACATTAGTGTCACACACACACACACACCTGTTACTGCATTACATTAGTGTTACACACACACACACACACACACACCTGTGAGCGCATTACATTAGTGTTACACACACACACACACACACACTTGTGAGCGCATAACATTAATGTTACACACACACACACACACACACACTTGTGAGCGCATAACATTAATGTTACACACACACACACACCTGTGAGCGCATTACATTAATGTTACACACACACACACACACACACACACCTGTGAGCGCATTACTTTAATGTTACACACACACACACACACACACACACCTGTGAGCGCATTACTTTAATGTTACACACACACACACACACACACACACCTGTGAGCGCATTACATTAATGTTACACACACACACACACACCTGTGAGCGCATTACATTAATGTTACACACACACACACACACACCTGTGAGCGCATTACATTAGTGTTACTGTGCAACAGTAACTGCCGTTTGTGATGCTTTGTTGCTGCATGTGTTGCTTGGCAACCTCTTTAATGATAATGATAGCTAATGCATTAAATAATGCATTAACTAAATTTAGCAAACTTTTTTTTAGTTTTTATCATGAAAAAGTAAACGTGTACTCAATGTCCTCTTCTTTTGAAAAACACAATATGGTCACAAGGTCAAAAGGTTTTAAAGGCTTTGTTTGCATGGTTGCATGTTTTGTTGTGGTCTGTTTGTCTCTGTGTGCTGTTATTTCTGTCATATTAAGCTCTGTGATGAAAGATAAGCCATCTGAATCGAGTGAGAATTGAGCTGGACAGCTTGTTATTATGGATTGTGTTTCAAGCTATTGTTGAGTGATTTAAAGTGAATGGCTGAGGTGTTTGTCATCATCTGATCAGTGTTTCTGCAGCCGTGAGAAGGGAAGAACACTTTTATTCATGCCATCACTGTAAAAAAACCATTGTCCTGTATTACAGTAAAAAAAAGTGTAATAGTGTTTTATTTCAAAAGCATTTTTTAAATATTTTCTTTAAGTAGTAAGAACTTGTTCTTGAAATGTCCTTGAACTGTTTCATAAGATTCACCCAGAAGAGTTCCCAAATTATTCAGTTTTTTCACCATCAAACGTGTTTGTTTTGTATAATGTCCTTTTTTTTCCCTTTTAAAAAAATATATATTTCATTTGGATAGCTAGTTTGCTGAATACATGAATCGGTAGTCTTTAATGTTGTATCAGTAGTCTTTATTTAATGTTGTGTGAGAAATGTGATATGCTAATTGTGACAAAATTGTTTAATATGGTCAGAGACAATTTATATAGAGACATGCCACTTCCTCAATCCTCAATACAACTATATAGGGAAAACCCGTACCGCCAAAGATGGCGGTTGTATGCAAATGCCCCGCCCCTCCCGCTGGAAAGCCAATCGTCTGCTTTTAACAGTCAAGCCGGGAAACATGTAAGCCTATCGTCTGGTTCCACTGACGCATGCGCACAGTTGAGGTTTGCGACAGCGGAGACGAGAACCCTTGCGCATGCGTAGTAAACGTATAACCTGTGGGGAAAAAGACCTTTTAAACCTTATTTTGGGGCAAAGTCATCAAACTTTTTCAGCGAT